TTTTTTTTTAAATTTGGGCGACCCTGAGAACAAGTCTGGGAGAGGGCCTGGGGACCCTGAAAGGGTTAAAGTCCTGCACACATTTTTCAGCCGCTTTTTTGTCAGAACTGGTGGCCTCATCACGCCTTATCACACTGTGTATGCCACTACAATTCTTAAATCTCTCAAACCAACCTTTTCTGGCCTTAAATTCACTAACATCAATACTAATTTCAGGCATTTTCTTAATTAGATCATGCAACTGCCTTGCCTTTTCACATATTATTGACTGAGGAAAAACTGTCTCCTGATAATTGTTTCTCATTTATCCACACCAACAACAGTCTCTCCACATCTTAGAGTAATTTGCGATCTCTGTTTTGTAAGCATACGTGCACCTTTTGCAACAACAGCTTCCTTGATTGCCTTTTTGTTGGCCAAGATAGTAGTAGTTGTTGAATGGAGCTTGTTGTATAACCAGGCCAACTCGGAGACACACACTCCACTTTCGTACTTTGCGATTACAGTGGAACCTCAAATATCAAACTTTCTTCGTGCCAGACGGCTGTTCGAGTGCTGTTACTGAACGAATTTATTCTCATCAGGAGTAATGTAAATTAAATTAGTTCATTTCAGACCCTCAAAAATACACTTATAAAAACACTTACAAAAATACACTTACATAATTGGTTGAGTTGGGAGCAGTTCAATATTTGAGGTTCCACTGTATCTCTTTCTTTAGCCCTTTCAGGGTTGGTGCCATACTAGTACGGCTTGCATGCCACGGTGCCGTACTGATACGCATAAATTCTAGCGCCTTCAAATCTAGTGAGAGAAAGCTGGTAGGCCTACACATGAAAGAATGGGTCTATGTGGTCAGTGTGCGCAGTATAAAAAAAATCCTGCAGCACACAGTGCATAATGAGAAAAAAACTCTGACCGTGTTTTTGGTTTAAAACAGCGACTTTGCATTGTATTTTCGTATGCTATTTATGGTTGTATTCTAGTTTTCCTGGTCTCATTTTATAGAATGGAAGACATATTATGGAAATTGAGATGATTTTGATTGGTTTCACAAAGAAAAGTACCTTGAAATTGAGCTCAAAGCAGCAGAAACGTTCGATTTTTGCCAAAGTTCAAAGGTAAACAAATCATGCCACGCATTCAATACATGTCAAGTGGTGAGTCTGATATTCATTCACAAGTGCACTGATATTATTTCTACACCATTTCTACACCAATGCAGTAATCTGCATAACATAAATCTTCTATTTTTTGTGAGAATAAAAATTCAAAGTGGAAAGCAAAAGAAATGTAACAGAGGCCTGGGGACATGAGTAATGAACAGAGTAAATGTTATTTTAGTGCCAGGAATGTTTGTCTTGTTTATTCTGGACCCTATTTAGAAATTGGCATCTTTCGAAATTTGTGTGAAATTGGCAAAATTGCCAATTTCTGACCATGTTATTGGTTAGTTCAAATCGGTAAATGGGGGGTTACTTGTACTCATTCGATAGACAAAATGGAGTTCTAGTGAAATAGGTATGATTTTTGTCGACTGGTACATTGGAATTGGCCGATAAAAGGGCTCAAAGTGGGCGAAATGGCCAATGCATAAATATCGTCGAGACCGCTAACTTCACGAGAGCATAATTCCAAAAGTTTTCCATCAAATTTCATACTTTTGGTGTCATTATGATCGGGAAAAGATTCTCTATCATTTCATAAGAATTTTTTTTTCCAACCCTGAGAACAAGTTTAGGAGAGGGCCTGCCAACCCTGAAAGGGTTAATTCAGTAGTATTTCTCACCCTTTTTACCACAGGGTTGGCACTAGAAGCTTTCTTTGGGCCCATGGGGGCTTATTTAGCAGTTACAAGCACTAAAAACAATGGAATAATACAAAATGTATCGCATGTACACGTGGAATCGTCCGCACTGGCTTGTGAACAGTGGCACACTAGCTGAAGGCAGGGCAGCTCAGGCATTCAGGCAGGGCAGCTCAGGCATTCAGGCCGGGCAGACAGGCGGACACGTTTGGGACAAATGTCCTTAACCGAGTTCTTGGGCGTTAGCCGAGCCAATATTTTAACGCAAAAATGCGCCGCTATCCGATTTTGGCATTAACCGATGCCGCTATTACCCGAGGGTCCACTGTATATGGTAAAGTCCAGCAGTCAGCAACACATCGACGTGATTACTGTCGTCGGGGTTGGGTAGGAGATATGATGGTTGAAGATAAACACAGTTGTGGATGGTAACGCTATATATATTGTCAGACTGTGGTAAGGGAAGGGGGCCCAGCCTGCTGTGTTACTGCCTGCTCGTATGTCTAAGCGTGGTGTGAGGGCGAGGTAGAGCGACCGACCCACTCACTCATGCTGCATCCCGTGACGTCATACAGTCACAGGCCTAGGGATCTTCTATATAAAGCACATGGATGGTACTATAATGCTCAGTTAATCTATACAACACATGTAAGGGGATTCAGCAACTATGCTGACATTACAAGCAAGTGCGCCATGTTAAACCCTCGTTCGTATGCACAAATTTGACTCACTTGTCAATTTTGCAACAATTTGAAGAGTTTAGGGAAAACACATGCATGAATTAATTTTTTTCTGACTCTAAATGCAACATTCGTACTAAAGCAAATTCATGCTGTTACCTGTCCTTAAGTACACCGAGTCCTTCACTTACAAACATGTTTATAATCTTTTGTATTGTGTATAATATCACTTATGTATCATTATTGTATATAATATTATTACATTATTATATACAATACAGAAAATTCCCAGCATGTTTGTAAGTTGAGAATTTACTGTATTAGAAAATGGTAATGTTTCTGCGTCACTACCAGCTGACCTGAATTACATTTAAGTAGGCCTAGTTTTTCTAACCTTGTTCTAGACCTAAATGAAACCGTTTGGACTGGCCACTTCATGATCTCTCTTGGCTTCCATACAAGTACACATTTTTATTTCTTAAGGCATTACAGAAATCGTGTATTTTATGTGTAATAAAACATCATTAGACTCGGAAGATTGTGAACGAATTGTGGAACTGATGGATGACTTAACCTATGACAAGTGAGGAAACTCTCAGCCCACTGGCCAAGTTGTTAGCACACTGGCCCCTGAGTTTTAGTACTTGCCTGCCATGGGTTTTTCATTCTCACCCATTCCTTGGTTTATCATGGGTTTGACCCTCACCCATTGCTTGGCTTATGGGTTTAACCTCCACCCATTCCTTGGTTTATCATGGGTTTCACCCTCACCTATTGCTTGGCTTATGGGTTTAACACGAACCCATTCCTTCGTTTATCATGGGTTTAACACGAACTCATTCCTTGGCTTATTGTGGGATTGACCCTTGCCCATTCCTTGGTTTATTGTGGGATTGACCTCCACCCATTCCTTGGTTTATCATGGGTTTGACATGAACCCATTCCTCGGTTTATTGTGGGATTGACTCTTGCCCATTCCTTGGTTTATCATGGGTTTAGCCTCCACCCACTCCTTGGTTTATCATGGGTTTAGCCTCCACCCATTCCTTGATTTATAATGGGTTTAACCTCCACCCATTCCTTGGTTTATCATGGGTTTAACCTCCACCCATTCCTTGGTTTATCATGGGTTTAACCTCCACCCATTCCTTGGTTTATCATGGGTTTAACCTCCACCCACTCCTTGGTTTATCATGGGTTTAGCCTCCACCCATTCCTTGGTTTATCATGGGTTTAGCCTCCACCCATTCCTTGGTTTATAATGGGTTTAACCTCCACCCATTCCTTGGTTTATCATGGGTTTAACCTCCACCCATTCCTTGGTTTATCATGGGTTTAACCTCCACCCATTCCTTGGTTTATCATGGGTTTAACCTCCACCCATTCCTTGGTTTATCATGGGTTTAACCTCCACCCATTCCTTGGTTTATCATGGGTTTAACCTCCACCCATTCCTTGGTTTATCATGGGTTTAACCTCCACCCATTCCTTGGTTTATAATGGGTTTAACCTCCACCCATTCCTTGGTTTATCATGGGTTTAACCTCCACCCATTCCTTGGTTTATCATGGGTTTAACCTCCACCCATTCCTTGGTTTATCATGGGTTTAACCTCCACCCATTGGTTTATCATGGGTTTAACCTCCACCCATTCCTTGGTTTATCATGGGTTTAATCTCCACCCATTCCCTGATTTTATAATTGAAATTTTAGAGTGTAAGACACTTTAATTTATTTGCAGTATGAACCTATAGCTTACAATTTTGTGTGAACATTTTTAGCAATTTGAATGTTCTATTGAACAAATCTATAACCATGATTGTTCTTTTGAACAAATATATAATCATGGTTGAATGTTCTAAAAACACATCTATAACCATGGTTGAACATTCTGAAGAACACATCTATAACCATGGTTGAACATTCTGAAGAACACATCTATAACCATGGTTGAACATTCTGAAGAACACATCTATAACCATGGTTGAACATTCTGAAGAACACATCTATAACCATGGTTGAACATTCTGATGAACACATCTATAACCATGGTTGAACATTCTGAAGAACACATCTATAACCATGGTTGAACATTCTGAAGAACACATCTATAACCATGGTTGAACATTCTGAAGAACACATCTATAACCATGGTTGAACATTCTGAAGAACACATCTATAACCATGGTTGAACATTCTGAAGAACACATCTATAACCATGGTTGAACATTCTGAAGAACACATCTATAACCATGGTTTGAACATTCTGAAGAACACATCTATAACCATGGTTGAACATTCTGAAGAACACATCTATAACCATGGTTGAACATTCTGAAGAACACATCTATAACCATGGTTGAACATTCTGAAGAACACATCTATAACCATGGTTGAACATTCTGAAGAATAACTAACTCTAGTTGAACGTTTTGAAGACCACACAACAATTTTTACATGATAAATAACACTCTTAGAGTTATTAAGTCACGGTTTGTTATTTTTTGTTTCAGTTGCCGAGGTTGTTCATTCAGCCGCTGAACTATACCATATACTCACAGAACATCGTTTTTGAGAACAGAATCAGAGGTGTTAAGACAGTGTAAGTACTGGCCGTTCTTCGTTCTTAAGCTGGTAATGTTCTATGATATTGTTCTTATTGTTCTTCCTATGGTAGTGTTCTTATTGTTATTCGTATGATAATGTTCTGCAAGTTTGTCTTGTGTGCTGTGAAGAACAGGCGCTGAACAAGCATAACTTCAACCGAGTGATGGTCAGTGTGTCCTCTTCCTCTTAACCTTGTTTGAGTCACAGTTCCTGGTCCCCAGCACACACCTCTGCCATACCTAGTCTTGAAGCTGTGTGTCATTCCTGCCTTTACCACTCAGATCTCTAAAGTGGTTAAGAGGAACACTTGTTACTGGTCCAGTGGCACTATTAAGGACTGCACTCCAGAATCTTCACGACTACGGTGCCCTTCACACCGAGGCTGAGGGACTGATTACCTCATCTTTTGTACATAGTTCTTCTGTCTTTTAATTATGTCCTCAAATTTGCATTGATAAAGCCACTGGATGGCAAAACATCTACAATAAAGATACCCAGATGTTGCACATGTCTAATTTTCATTTTGTTGGTATTGTATACCATTCATGTACAGTTTATTACAATGGTTTAGTGGCACTGTTAAGGTCCATATAGCATTTAAAGTTTACTTTCTAACTTGCAGTACTTTATTACAGTGGTTTAGTGGCGTACGTGAAGCAAGTGGCACTCTTGAGGACGGTGGGGCACTTAAAGTTTGCCCATGTGAAGTTTGAGATTTTGAAGATTACCAAACATCCTGAAGATGGCACTGTGAGAGTCCGCTGGCGCATCACCGGACTCTCTGGACTCAAGGTGAATCCTTCGTGAGTGGAAATTCATAGCTTCAACCATAAGAGTAAATTTGTAGGCTCAACCATAAGTGTAAATTCATAGGCTCAACCATAAGTGCAAATTTGTTGGCCTTACCATGAGAGTAAATTCATAGGCTTGAATATAAATGCAAATTCGTAGGCTCAACCATAAGTGTAAATTTGTTGGCTCAGCCATAAGTGCCAATTCTTAGGCTCAACCGAAAGTTTAAATTTGTAGGCTCAACCATAAGTGTCAATTCTTAGACTCAACCATAAGTTTAAATTCGTAGGCTCAACCATGAGTGTAAATTCATAGGCTCAACTGTAAGTGTAAATTTGTAGGCTCGAACATAAGTTTATATTCCTAGGCTCAACCATAAGTATAAATTTGTAGGCTTCACCATAAGTTTAACACTTTCGCTGTCGGTCCCGTAATGTTACAGCTTGAAAGCCAGTGCTGGTCCCGTAATACTATGCCAAAATTCTAGTGGCTTCAAATCTAGCCGGAGAAAGCTGGTAGGCTTGCATGTGAGAGAATGAGTCTGCGTGGTCAGTGTGTGCAGTATAAAAAAAATCGTGGGGCCAGTGGTGCATTGTGGGAACGCCATTTCAGTATGCCTTGTTTCCCATGCCTTGTGGTAAGAAATACCTCATTCACAGTTCTAACACAGATGGAAGTGTCAGTGAAGATGAATTTCATGGTGTTGAGGAATTTGTGACCGAAAGCAATGCCCAGGAAACCGGAAGAAAGAAAGGAAGGAAGGAAGAGATGAGAGGAAGGGAGAAGTAAGGAAGGAAAGAAGGATGACCCAGACAACCATCAACCTAGGATAACCCAAAAAAGTCAGACAAAGTAACTTATTTTCGTGTGGGTAGTGGGAAATACAGCGTGCTTGTTGGGGAAGACTGTGGGGGTAATGGGTGGTGGTGATTTTATAATGCATCATTGTGACACCAACCACGCCGCTCTCAGCACCCACAACAAAGGCCAAATACACACAACAACCTTCCACAAGCTGTAGCAGTTCTAGGAATGTGTCCAGTGACCATATATGTGTAATAACTTTTTTTATTGTTGGTTTGTGTAAATGGGTTTTGTAAACGTAATGATATCTGTGTGGTTATTGCATACGAGTGGATATATATACCTTAAACATTATATTGGTCTCACAGGCCACAAAAGTTATTTGAAAAATTAAAATATTAAAAAATCAAAGAAAAAATACAATAAAAGTAAAAATAATACATGTACATGTATTACCGAGTGAGCGGCAGTTGCTGATGTTGCCGTAAGCGGTTCACTTTGTCAACTTCATGCCGCTATATCTCGGTAAGTTCTGATCACAAAAAAAAAAAAAATTAAACACACAAAAATATTCTTAAGATTTTGGTAAGAATTTTTTTTTTTTCACCGCAGAGCGAGAGTTTAGAATCAGGGGTCCCAACATGAAAGGGTTAAATTCATAGGCTCAACCATAAGTGTAAATTTGTAGGCTTGACCGTAAGTTTAAATTCTTAGGCTCAACTGTAAGTGTAAATCTTGATGCATTTACAGCAATGTGTTTTGTTCAGGCAATGGTGCAGTTCTGGAAGCTGAAGCTGTGGAACTGGAAGGGTATTCAGGAACAAATGGACAGTTGGTACGATGGGTTCTCCACCTTCTATGTTGGTGCTGATGGTCTGGTATACAGGCATGTTGCTGACAGTGTGAGTATTGTTGCTGACAGTGTGAATATTGTGTTGTTGACTGTGCATATTGTGTTGCTGACAGTGTGAGTATTGCTGCAGACAGTGTGAGTATTGTGTTGCTGACATTGTGCATATTGTGTTGCTGACTGTGAGTATTGCATTGCTGACAGTTTGAGTATTATGTTGCTAACAGTGAGTACAGGTCTCCCTCAACATTCATGTTTTCCACTTTCGCGGGCTTCGAACATTCGCAAATTCCCATCTGCCCAATCATATTTAAAATATATCATTACATATACAGTGGTCCCTCAATAATCGTCCGGCCTGAAAGTCATCCATTTCGGAAATAGTCCAGTTTTTTCGTCAAAATATTGGCCCGCAAATGGTCCGGTAACTCGCTAATAGTCCTAATAGTCCTTCGTCTTGGACGCGTACTCACGCTCTGAGCCGCCTCGGCCTTTCCTTCCCAGCCAGTGTGCCATTGTTTACCAGTGAGTGACGGTCCCCTCACATGCTCCTACGAAATATTTCATAATATTCCATTGATTTTAGTGCTTGCAAGTGCTAAATAAGCTACCATGGCTCCAAATAAAGCTTCTAGTGCCAGCCCTTTGGTAAAGAATGTGAGAAACACATAATTTATTAAAAAGTTTGTAGAAAAATACAAAGATGGTAGTGGTAGAGTGGAAGCAGTTGTGATAGTGGTTGATGAACATAAGAACATAAGAAAGGAGGATCACTGCAGCAGGCCTGTTGGCCCATGCTCGGCAGGTCCTTTACAATTCATCCCACTAACGAAACATTTTCCCAACCCAGTCCTCAATGCTACCCAAGAAATAAGCTCTGATAACTCTATCCACTCATTTGGGACTTGCAAATGAGTGGATAGAGTTATCAGAGCTTATTTCTTGGGTAGCATTGAGGACTGGGTTGGGAAAATGTTTCGTTAGTGGGATGAATTGTAAAGGACCTGCCGAGCATGGGCCAACAGGCCTGCTGCAGTGATCCTCCTTTCTTATGTTCATCAACCACTATCACAACTGCTTCCACTCTACCACTACCATCTTTGTATTTTTCTACAAACTTTTTCATAAATTATGTGTTTCTCACATTCTTTACCAAAGGGCTGGCACTAGAAGCTTTCTTTGGTGGTATTGATGGTGGTAGAAGGTAGTAGTGATAGTGGTAGAAGGTAGTAGTGATGGTGGTAGAAGGTAGTAGTGATGGTGGTAACAGTTGTAATAGTGGTAGAAGGTCGTAGTGATGGTGGTAGAGGGTTCCTTCTTTAGTGATTCAGCGATTCTACCAACTCCTCCAATGTTGTTGGAGTTATATAGGGCTACAAAAACCACCACCGCCTCACCACCATTATGGACGGCTTACACTCAGTGGCCCTTATATACACAACAACACAACACCACTTGTGACATACGTAATGACTTATTTTATTCATTCTAGAGTATATTCCATGTTTCTATGTTATTAATATTGTTTATTATGTCATATTAGTTGAATTGTGATAGATAAATAAGCCAAAGAGTTGATATTAGTGCCATATTCTCCAACAATAAACTTGCCATCCCTCCCTTATAAACAAATAGCCAGTAAAAACATAACAATGGAAGAACACTGCAGGTCTACTGGCCCATACAAGGCAGGTCCTTATCAAAATGACCTCCACCCAAAGCTACCCAAGAATTTACTCCCGTACCCAATGACACAAATCAAACTCAGCTCCTCCAACTCGTATATTTGCCCAGTCTCTTCTTGAAGCTACCCAAGGTCCTAGCCTCGATCACCCTTCTGGTAAGTGTGATGTTAAATAAGAACTTAAGAAAGTAGGAACACTGGAATAGGCCTGCTGGCCCATACTAGGCCGGTCCTTCACAAATCCAACCCACTAACAGAACAAATGCTACCCAAGCAATAAGCTCAGGTGCAAGTCCAACTCAAATCCAACCCCTCTATCTCGTGTATTTATCCAACCTAAATTTGAAACTACCCAATGTTTTAGCTTCGATCACCCTACTAGGCAGACCGTTCCACTCATCAACTACCCCTATTACCAATGTTCATTTATACATTTAATTAGTGCCCTAGAGTCCTTATGGAGGGGGATTCCCCTTCCAAATAACCTCTCTTTCCTCTCTCCTCCTCCCTGTCTTCCATTCATCAACAACAGCCTTCAATAAAGGTAACTGTCATGTTGAATGTTCATTCATTTGTGTATGTAAATCTATCTTTTAGGTAAAAAAAAATATTTTTGTTGATACTTCTGGGTGTCTGGAACGAATTAATTGGATTTACATTATTTCTTATGGGGAAAATTGATTCGAAAATCGTCCATTTCGATAATAGTCCCACTTCCAGGAACGGATTATGGACGATTATTGAGGGACCACTGTATTAGGAATTGTGGCAGTGGCAGAGTTTGTTTGGAGATGGGACAAGATAGCCCTTCAATATGACACTAATATCAACTCTCCGGCTTATTTATCTATCACAATTCATCTACTATGACATAATATAAACAATATTAATGACACAGAAACATGACACATACTCTAAATGAATAAAATACATCATTAAGTATGCCATAAGTGTTGCTGTGTTGTTGTTTTTGGGTGTATAATCGGCCACTGAGAGCGGGCCACTGAGAGCATAAGCCTTACATAGTGGTGGTGAAGGCAGCAGCAGAAACAGCAGTGTTGTCAGTCGCCCTATATAACTCCAACAACATTGGAGGAGTTAGGTTCATGCTGTCCTTTTTCTATCGATTAATTGCTTAACTTACTTGCTACACTGTTAATGCTACTCTTTATCGCTGGCTGGCACTATTGCCTTTATCAACTCGTGCTGCTTTAGTATCGTACATATCGTAGAATCACTGAATCACTAAAGAAGGCACATTCTCCCCTCTCTTCCTCCTCCACTCTGGTACTCTGCTATGAGTTCTTGCTTGAATTCTATAGTCTTTCTCACATTCTTTACCAAAGGTCTGGCACTAGTACAATATTTTACAATGTTTTCATGTGTTTTATAATTGTACACGGTTCAGTAGGGAAGCAGTATTGTTAGGCTAAGTAAATGCTATTATTATATTGCCCTACAATATGTTTGTGCACCAAACATTCGTGATTTTTCAACATTCACGAGGTTATTGATTCCCTAACTCTCGCGAATGTGGAGGGAGACCTGTATTATATTGCTGACAGTGTGAGTATTCTTTTGCTGACAATAGCAGTATTGTTTTCAGGTGGCTGACAGTGTCAGTATTGTGTCATGTGGCTGACAGTGTCAGTATTGTGTCATGTAGCTGAGAGTGTCAGCATTGTCATGTGGTGGCACTAAAGTCACAATTATGCATTGTTTTGGGGGCAAGCTAATTCTTAGGCCTACATCACTGTAGGCCTATGATATTTCAGACTTGTATAGTTCACTCACTAATACAGCAAACCTTCCATATAATGGACCTTCATACAATAGACTCTGGACATGTGGAACAAAGTCTTCTGTCTGTCAATTTGCCATCAGTTGGTTACAAAACTGTCCATTGTTACTATATTATTATTATTAATAGTATCAACTGTCTCCACAACAAATGTTAGTGCTAGCCACCTGATCCATCAGTCCATTAAGTGGAACAGTCTCAACTAAGTGGTCGAGAGTGTTCCACTGTCACTAATGGCACATCACTGCTGCAAATCTCGCTGTGTTGACATCCTGGTGGGTACAACATGCAACATCCGTGCGTTCCGCACACGTTCCTGGCATTTCTGGATATCGACCAAGCAGTGGTTAATGAGTTTTCCTCTTTTGTGACCCCCTTCTCAATACCTTGGCACATTTGCCAACCTGTGATTGTCATCAACATGTGACACAGGATCAGTCATCTGTCTGCTAATATCAGTCCTGAGTCTCCAACCAATCAAGACAACTATCAGTCCTGAGTCTCAGACCAGTCAAGACCGCTATCAGCCCTGGGTGTCCAACCAATCAAGACCACTATCAGCCCTGGATCTCCAACCAATCAAGACCACTATCAGTCCTGGTCTCCAACCAATCAAGACCACTATCAGTCCTGAGTCTCCAACCAATCAAGACAACTATCAGTCCTGAGTCTCCGACCAGTCAAGACCACTATCAGTCCTCAACCTCCGACCAGTCAAGACCACTATCAGTCCTCACCTCCGACCAATCAAGACCACTGTCAGTCCTTAGTCTCGACCAGTCAAGACCACTATCAGTCCTCACCCTCCGACTAATCAAGACCACTATCAGTCCTCACCCTCCGACCAGTCAAGACCACTTTTAGTCCTGGGTCTCCAACCAGTCAAGACCACTATCAGTCCTGGGTCTCCGACCAGTCAAGACCACTATCAGTCCTGGGTCTCCGACCAGTCAAGACCACTATCAGTCCTTAGTGTCCGACCAATCAGGACCACTGTCAGTCCTTAGTCTCGACCAGTCAAGACCACTATCAGTCCTCACCCTCCGACCAGTCAAGACCACTTTTAGTCCTTAATCTCCAACCAGTCAAGACCACTATCAGTCCTCAACCTCCGACCAGTCAAGACCACTATCAGTCCTCAACCTCCGACCAGTCAAGACCACTATCAGTCCTCAACCTCCGACCAATCAAGACCACTATCAGTCCTGGGTCTCCGACCAGTCAAGACCACTATCAGTCCTTGGTCTCCGACCAGTCAAGACCACTATCAGTCCTGGGTCTCCGACCAGTCAAGACCACTGTCAGTCCTTAGTCTCGACCAGTCAAGACCACTATCAGCTCACCGCTCCGACAGTCAAGACCACTATCAGTCCTGGGTCTCCGACCAGTCAAGACCACTATCAGTCCTGGGTCTCCGACCAGTCAAGACCACTATCAGTCCTGGGTCTCCGACCAGTCAAGACCACTATCAGTCCTGGGTCTCCGACCAGTCAAGACCACTATCAGTCTTGGTTCCGACCAATCAGGACCACTGTCAGTCCTTGGTCTCGACCAGTCAAGACCACTTCAGTCCTCGCCCTCCGACCAGTCAAGACCACTATTAGTCCTTAGTCTCCAACCAGTCAAGACCACTATCAGTCCTGCACCTCCGACCAGTCAAGACCACTATATCCTAGCCTCCGACAGTCAGACTTGTCAGTTCTATCCTGATCTCAGGTAATTGTATCAGTCTGTTCGACAAGTAATGACCACGTATGATCCTGGTTGACCGTAGACATGATAGTCTGGTCTACTGACATGTCAGTACGTACTGATTTGGGTCTCCGACAGTAGTCACTGATCAGTCGTGGGTGGACCAGTCAGACTTCAGTCTGGGTACTGACCTGTGAGCACGTATCAGTGGGGTCATCGAAGTCAAGACACTAGTGCAGTGCGTGTGTCTCGTCGGTCAGACTATCAGTGCCTGGGTCTGAAGTCGACTCTCAGTACTGGGCCTCGTCCAGTGAGATGGCAGTGAGTGTGCGCAGTGGTTGTGCGATAGGGTGAGGTGTACTATATAGTGTGTGGTGTGGACAGGGGGCAGGATGATGTGGCAGTCTGGGTGGGGCAGTCGACCATGTGCAGGGCAGTATTAGTCTGGTCGGACATGTGCAGTACATATGGAGTCCTGGGTCTCGACAGTAGGATATAGATCCTTAGTCGCAGTATTGTTGTGATGTGTGTAGTATGTGTATTGGCAGTGATTTTGTGGATGGCAGTGATGTGGTGTGGTATGGCATGTGGTGTGATGTTGATGGTGTGATGTGGTAGATGTGTGGCAGTGATGTGGTGGTGTGGTAGTGATGTGGCAGTGATGTTTGGTGGTAGGTGATGATGTGGTGTGGAGTGATGTTGTGGTGCTATGTGTAGTGATGTGTGTGGTGTGTGATATGTGGTGGTGCATGAGTGTGTGGTTGTGATGGTGTGTGGTAGTGATGTGGTGGTGAGTGTATGTGGTTGTGATGGTGTTGGATGTGATAGTGGTGTGATGATGTGTGGTGGCAGTGATGTGTGGTGGTAGTGATGTGGTAGTGATGTGTTGTGGGGTATGATGGTGTGGTTAGTGATGTGTGTGGTGTGTAGTGATGTGTGTGGTTGTGAAGTGGTTGATGGGTGTGGTGTGTGGATGTGGTGTTGTGTGTGATAGTGGTAGATGTGTGTGTTGTATGTGGTGGTGTAGTGGTGTGATGGTGATGATGTTGTGATGGTGGGTGATTTGTGGTGTGAGTGGTAGTGATGTGTGGAGTGATGTGATGTGGTAGTGATGTGGTGTGGAGTGATGTGGTGGTGGCAGTGATGTGGATGGTGGTAGTGATGTGGTGGTGGTATGATGTGGGTGGTGGTGATTGTGGTGGTGGTAGTGATGTGATTGTGGTAGTGATGTGGTGGCAATGATGTGGTAGTGATGTAGTGGTAGTGATGTGTAGTGGCAGTGATTTCGTGGTGGCAGTGATGTGGTGGTGGTAGAGATGTGGTGGTGGTAGTGATGTGGTGGTGTTGGTGATGTGGTTGAGTGATGTGGTGGTGGTGGTAGTGATGTGGCAGTGATGTTTTGGTGGTAGTGTGTGAGGTGTTGTGGGTTGTGGTGCTATAGTTTTAGTGATGTTGTGGTGGTGATATTGGTAGTGATGGTGTTGTGGTTGTGATAGTGGTATGTGGTTGGATAGTGGTTGTGGTGTGTGGTAGTGATGGTGTTGTGTTGTGATAGTGGTAGTGATGGTGTTTGGTTGTGATAGTGGTATGATGGTGTTGTGGTTGTGATAGTGGTAGTGATGGTGTTGTGGTTGTGATAGTGGTATGATGGTGTGATGTGTTGGTTGTGATAGTGGTAGTGATGGTGTTGGTGTTGTGATAGTGGTAGTGATGGTGTTGTTGGTTTGTGAGTAGTGGTGTAAGTGATAGTGTGGTGTTGTGGTTGTGATAGTGGTAGTGATGGTGTTGTGGTTGTGATAGTGGTAGTGATGGTGTTGTGGTGTGTGATAGTGGTAGTGATGGTTGTTGTGGTTGTGATAGTGGTAGTGATGGTGTTGTGGTTGTGGATAGTGGGTAGTGATGGGTGTGTGATAGTGGTAGTTGTGGGTGATAGTGGTAGTGATGTGTGGTTTGTGGGGTGGTGTTAGTATTGATGGGGTGGTGTGTGATAGTGGTAGTGATGGGGTTGGTGGTTGTAGTGTAGTGATGGGTGGTGGTGTGGTAGTAGTGTGTAGTGATGGGGTGTGTGTGATAGTGGTATGTGGGTGTGTGGTGATAGTGGTATTTGGGGTGATGTGGTGTGATAGTGGTAGTGATGGGGTTGGTGGTTGTAGTGAGGGGTGGTGTGTGTAGTGTATGGGTAGTGTGGTGGTGGTGATAGTGGTATGATGGTGTGTGGTGTGATGGTGGTGTGATGGTGAGTGATGGGTGTTGTGGTGTATGTGTAGGTGTGGGTAGTGTGATGGGTGGTGTGGTGATAGTGGTATGTGGTGGGGTGGTGGTGATAGTGGTAGTGATGGGGTGGTGATAGTGGTAGTGACAGGGTGGTGATAGTGGTAGTGACAGGGTGGTGATAGTGGTAGTGACAGGGTGGTGATAGTGGTAGTGACTGGGTGGTGATAGTGGTAGTGACAGGGTGGTGATAGTGGTAGTGACAGGGTGGTGATAGTGGTAGTGACAGGGTGGTGATAGTGGTAGTGACAGGGTGGTGATAGTGGTAGTGACAGGGTGGTGATAGTGGTAGTGACAGGGTGGTGATAGTGGTAGTGACAGGGTGGTGATAGTGGTAGTGACAGGGTGGTGATAGTGGTAGTGACAGGGTGGTGATAGTGGTAGTGACAGGGTGGTGATAGTGGTAGTGACAGGGTGGTGATAGTGGTAGTGACAGGGTGGTGATAGTGGTAGTGACAGGGTGGTGATAGTGGTAGTGACGGGTGGTGATAGTGGTAGTGACAGGGTGGTGATAGTGGTAGTGACAGGGTGGTGATAGTGGTAGTGACAGGGTGGTGATAGTGGTAGTGACAGGGTGGTGATAGTGGTAGTGACAGGGTGGTGATAGTGGTAGTGACTGGGTGTGTAGTGATAAGGGTGGTATGGTGACAGGGTGGTGATAGTGGTAGTGACAGGGTGGTGGATGCATTGATGTGGTAGTGACAGGGTGGTGATAGTGGTAGTGACAGGGTGGTGATAGTGGTAGTGACAGGGTGGTGATAGTGGTAGTGACTGGGTGGTGATAGTGGTAGTGACAGGGTGGGTGATAGTGGTAGTGACAGGGTGGTGATAGTGACTGGGTGGTGATAGTGGTAGTGACAGGGTGGTGATAGTGGTAGTGACAGGGTGGTGATAGTGGTAGTGACTGGGTGGTGATAGTGGTAGTGACAGGGTGGTGATAGTGGTAGTGACAGGGTGGTGATAGTGGTAGTGACTGGGTGGTGACCAACAAACTCACTCTCAATATAGACAAAGCATACTTCATAATGTGTGAAAGCAGAGGTTCAAATATGCAACCTAACATATTGATCAATGGTTCTGCCATTACAAGACACACTGAGGCTAAATTATTAGCTCTACAGCTTTATAACAATTTAAAATTTAATACCCACATGCAACACATAGACAAGAAGGTCTCCAAAACAGTAGTTAACCTCTCCAAGATACAGTACTGTATACCCCACTTAACACTATACCAGTGTCTAATCTACTCTTACCTCCCCAATGGTATTTGCTCTTAGGGATCTACTACTACTAATCACCTTAAACCATTAATAACTCGGGTAAAAGTTGTTTTGGCGACTATCACCCAGTCCTGTGCTAGATAGCACCCCTCCATTCTTCAAGAGTTTAAACTTACTTAATGTACATAATACACACTCATATTACTGTGCTTACTATATATATAGAGCATAAAATAACAACATAAACTTTCTCTAATATTTTTCTTTGATAGTTGCAACAACAACAATAATAATAACAGCAACAACAACAACAACAATAATAACAACAGCAGCAGCAACAACAACAACAACAACACAGTCACAACACGAGACACAACATTCTCTTCAACATCATCTGTGTTTTGACTCAACCTATGTAAAAACTCAGTGTGCACAAAAGTTCCTAAGATCTGGAATTCATTGCCTGAATCATCAAAGGTCCTCTGTCTGCCAGTCAATTTAGAGCTATTGGTAAAAATCATCTCATCTCCCTAACTTAACTAAAGCAACACTGTATTATACCAAACATAACCAGCTCATCCAACTCTATCACTGTTCTTGCAGTCTTCCTCAAACTCCCATAGAAAGTTAATTACTCATCTTGTTTTATTATAAATCTACTGAAACTGTCTTCCTGTATCTTCACCATCTCTTTCAGTCATTTCATAAACTGAAGACTTTGAGTCAATTTGAAACTGCTTAACAAATTCCACTTAACCAAAGATCACGGAATAAGTTTGAAGTATTAATACATAAAATTTTACTATTGTTCATTTAGCTACTCCCTTTTTTTGCACATTTAAAAACTCTTACTTAATAATCCATGTCTAGTTCTGCAGTAGTCTTTAAACATTAATATTAGTCTGCCAGGAATGCACAGCATGTTAGTGGCTCTCTTTTGTACTTAACAGTATTTTATTACATGTAAACTATATCATCTGTAAACTGCAGTAAATAAATAAGTTTATTATTTTTTTCAACAAACTGACCATATCCTACTGAGGCAGGGTGGCCTAACAAGGAAAATAAAGTTTTTCTTTTTAAATTTAGTAATTTATACAGGAGAAGGGTTAGTAGCCCTTGCTCCCATTATTATTATTATAATTAATGAAATCTCTGCTCTTGGCTATTTCTGTTTCGTTTTTTCCCAGATGATGCCAGACGAGGAGCTGCACGTGGCAGAGAAAGGTCCCCTGGCGGCCAAGATGGCCGCTCTCCTTGGCCTGGCACATCGACCAAACCTTTATGACACCAACAACATGCTCTTCAGTCTGGACTCACTGTCATTGCTGCAGCAGCAAGACGAACAGACTTACACCAACCTTATGCTTCCCCTGGAGAAGATTCACTGAGTCCCATTCCTCGTTTAATTTTCCTGTGGAACACTAACATGAGGTTATAATTAGAAAAGATTCATAGATTTGCAGCACTGGAGAAGTTATACCAATCTTTTATTTTTTCCTACAGAAGACTATTATGTGATCATGTCTGTAGAAAAGACTCGGAAAGGCTATCCCACACCTCTAGTATTTCTTCCTGTGTAAGACTGTTATGCAATCATATCTGTAGAAAAGACTCGTAAGTTGCAACATTGCAGAAAGCATCCTGCTCATCTTTCATTTCTTCCTATGTAAGACTAGCATGTGATAAAGTCAGTCATGTTACAAACGCACTTACATAAATACACTTACATAATTGGTCGCATTCGGAGGTAATCGTTATGCGGGGGTCCACTGTACATCCAAAATTGATTAATGTGAACTTTGAAAGCCTTTATTCCCGTACTATTTAATTTTGAGAGAACCTTTTTTTTTTTATAACATTTCTAAAAGTAATGGCAGTATATAGAGGTTTATAAGAGCACTGATTGTTTATAGAGGAGCTTTATAAGAGAACTGACTGTATATAAAGAGCTTTGTAAAAGCTGTATATAGAGGAGTGACTATATAAAATAGCTGTATAAGAGTGCTGACTGTGCTCTGTATTATTCACAAAGTTGAGATGGAGCTTAAACTTTGTTTTGGATGTCAATCAAATCTTATGTCACTTAAAAACAGTTCTCGACCAAGACCTGAAGGTTGGTCCAGAACCGACACCTCGTCTAAAACCTCAACTTCCAGGCTGGGAGTCAGTTATGAATTGTTGCAGCCACATTATTGTGATATATTCTTCCCATAGTCTTCATTAGAAGTGAAAGTAACTCATGAAAAAAGAATCGTTGTATATATTAATATATATATAATATATATATATATATATATATATATATATATACATACAGTGGAACCTCAAATATTGAACTGCTCCCAGCTCAACCAATTATGTAAGTGTTTTTTATAAGTGTATTTTTGAGGGTCTGAAATGAACTAATTTAATTTACATTACTCCTGATGAGAATAAATTCGTTCGGTAACAGCACTCGAACAGTCGTCTGGCACGAAGGAAGTTCGATATTTGAGGTTCCACTGTATATATATAATCTAAAAAAAAATCAAAGTTTAGATAGAAGGAAGCATAATGTGATGTTCGTTGTACATGTCCTTTAACCTTATATATTGTTGGTGCATGAAATCGTAACGATTGCAAAAAATCTGGGAACAGATGGGAATTGAACCCACAGCAAGTCGTAAAACTCGCAGGCTAACATGTTAACAGCTTGACCAGCTGACTCGAATGAGATTCATACAACTAACCATACTTCTACACTTCATAGGAAGGATAGCATGAGCCACACACACTGACCGTGTGACAGCAAATACCAGTTTTTACGAACAAATTCCACACCAGCACGTGTTGCAACTGTCTCAAAGCCGGTCACAGTGGGGGCCCATGCTAACCTTATGGTGTATAAAATATAGCTAGCTGCCCAAGTGGTTAGCACACTTGCCTGCCAGGTTTACCACCCACCTGACAGAGGTTCAAGTCCCACCCATTCAATTATTTATTTTGTTAGTAATTCTACAAATGTCAAAAAAAAAAAAAAAAAAAAAAAAAAAGCTTAAAGGTGTAGGTCGATCTATATCACTTTGGCAAGTGATATAGATCAACCTTTGTAAATACACTCAGGCTCGCCTTTGCAAAGAAAAAGCTCATTGGAGGGCATTGTGCTGTGTGTGTGTGTAGAGCATTTGGTGATGACATGACAGAGCTCTGTAAAGCTTTTATTTACACTTTTTGCCCTGTAGAGCTTTATTATAAAACTCGATGCTTCTTTGAATTAAATCTAGGAATGTAGAGCTTCATTATAAAGCTCTAAACAGCTCTGAATTAGATATTTCTCTGATGAGCTTCATTATAAAGCTCCAAACAGGTTTTAATTATTTAGCCTTGAAGAGCTTCATTATGATAAAGCTCCATGCTGAGCATGATGATGTACCAGTAAGAGCTTGTTCACCAGTACAATGAGCGTGTATCAACCTTTTTGTTCAGTATTGTTCATAATGTGATTGGTGCCAGGCACAGTACAGTGACAGATTATTTTTGTATCCAATGATGTAATTATCTTTAATTTCTTCTGTGATAATGCAGTGGAGCACCGGACCAGTTCTTAGGAGCGCCGGACCAGTTCTTAGGAGTGCCGGACCAGTTCTTAGGAGCGCCGGACCAGTTCTTAGGAGCGCCGGACCAGTTCTTAGGAGCACCGGACCAGTTCTTAGGAGCACCGGACCAGTTCTTAGGAGTGCCGGACCAGTTCTTAAGACCTTGGCATTGTAAGTTCGAGGCTTGATCGTTCCACTGAATTTGTTCATTGATAATGTTCAGCACATTTATGTTCTTTGTCCTGCAAAAAAATGTTTATTGGGAGACAATAAAAGACTATTGAACATGTCTTAATATTGAAATATAACCCACAGACCACTGTATTCCAACATAGAGGTAAACAGTACAGGCAGGCCATGCTGTACAGCACTTTGCTTTTCAGTATTTCACTAATAGAGTGGTTTTTCAATTATACCCATTCTTCATTTGTTCAAATTTAATACAATAAATATATTCACCACTCACTATAAGCTAAGGATGTACTATACAGCCTCTCCTCACTTTAAGCTAAGGATGTACTATACAGCCTCTCTCACTTTAAGCTAAGGATGTACTATACAGCCTCTCCTCACTTTAAGCTAAGGATGTACTATACAGCCTCTCTCACTTTAAGCTAAGGATGTACTATACAGCCTCTCTCACTTTAAGCTAAGGATGTACTATACAGCCTCTCCTCACTTTAAGCTAAGGATGTACTATACAGCCTCTCTCACTTTAAGCTAAGGATGTACTATACAGCCTCTCTCACTTTAAGCTAAGGATGTACTATACAGCCTCTCCTCACTTTAAGCTAAGGATGTACTATACAGCCTCTCTCACTTTAAGCTAAGGATGTACTATACAGCCTCTCCTCACTTTAAGCTAAGGATGTACTATACAGCCTCTCTCACTTTAAGCTAAGGATGTACTATACAGCCTCTCCTCACTTTAAGCTAAGGATGTACTATACAGCCTCTCTCACTTTAAGCTAAGGATGTACTATACAGCCTCTCTCACTTTAAGCTAAGGATGTACTATACAGCCTCTCTCACTTAGCGACGAATATGGCAGAAAGCTGAATCAAACTTGGCACGCACTTTAGTGTACCAGTTGGCCACTAGGAGCCGTGCTCTTTACCTTCCTTTTGGAATTATTACAGCTGTGTTTTGTTCTAGCTACCTTGTGTGTAGCACCTAAGAGGACCAGGAATGTGCTTACTCTAGAAAAAAAAGAGAGAAATATTGTCATACGTGGATGCAGGTTGCTCCAAGGCTGGGGAAAAAACTACAGAAGACCATGTGCCAGACTGGCTTGAGTGTGATGAAGACGACCCTGGTGTGCAATCTTTGACGGATGCAGAGACTGCAGAATCAGTGTTGCACCCAGAACATTCCAAAAGTGACAACAACCCAATGCCTCAAGGACCAAAACCTTCAGCAGCAAGGGCAGGTGTCGAAACACTTTTGGAGTATTTGAAGCATCCACTGTCCACACCCCATTTGAAAAGTTATGGTCCTGTGATCTGTGAAACCTGGGAGGCTGTTATTCGAGCCCAGAGTGTCTAGGCCCACCAACCAGACAACATTGGACTCACTTTTTAAACCTGTAACACCGTCGTTGATGGTGATATGACAGGGTATGGATGGTAATATGACAGTGCTGATGCATATTTTTTTCCCTCTCAGGTATCCGGAAACTCCATGCTTCCAAACCGGTCTCGGCCTATATAATTCGGATATGAGAGGTATCACTGTATACCAGAAATGTTATAAATGTGTGAAGGTGACATTAAAACAATATCAAAGATGGTTGACACAAACCCACTTTCATTACAGAATGCTCCTCTGACAAATTCGTTTACCAACGTGGTCTTAGGAACAGAACTCTGTCGTTAAGTGAGGAGAGCCTGTATATGCATATTTTAGGCCTAGCTCTATTGTTCACGTAATATATAATAGCATAAACACGTTATCAGGCTTTTATATGCATTTGAAAGTGAAAAAAAGGCTGTGATTCACTTCACAATTTTCACTTTACAGCAGTGGGCCGGAACCTAACCTGCTGTATAAGCAGGGCCCACCTGTATTTGTTGTGATTGTTTGTACTCCCACAGACAATGTCTCACTAATGGGTATCTCGTGGAGAGGCGCCCTGTTCCACTCTGAGAATTGTCAGGTTCCACTTTCTTTCAGTTTGCCATATACTGTTAGACTGTCCTGTCTACCACTGAGCACGCAGAATTTACCTCCGATGTCGTCACTGCTCTAACACCCTTGCTCTAAACCTCCCTGCCCAGGTGCTCTATAATTTCTACAGGGTTGAGTGCTTCCCAATGATATTTATAAGAACTGATTGTATATAGAGGAGCTTTATAAGAGAACTAGCACTGTATGACCCTTGTAGATTTAGTGCTTAACCCTTCATCCCAAGGGGGCCAAATTTGAAAATTTATGAAGAACTCCCTATGGGGAATTTAAAAAGTAAATCAAAACAAGGTAGTCCATTACAATGTGTTTTAGGTTATTTAAATTGCCCAACTCGAAGGACGAAATATTAGGCCCCTGATTTCCCGTTTTTAAAAACTTGTTAAAATTCAAGTTAATAAAAAAAACAAGTTTAAATTTTAAATTTAAAACGCAATTAAAAAACTTTTTTTGGAACTTTTCAAAACATTTCTTTGTAATAAAAATTTAAAAAGGGGTATATCAACAATGCCCCAAAGCAAAGTTTTGAAGGGGGTTTTAATCCCTAACTGGGGAATTTTTTGGGGCCCGAGTCTAAATGTAATTGGTAAAGATGGAAGCTTTTAAACTTCGTCACATCTTTATTTACAGAATGGATCACTAAGAATGAGAATGGTTTAGGTTTTTTTTGGGTTTTGCAATACTTGAAGGTAAACACCTTTCCCTCCAAAGTGTTAGAAATTCTTTCCTAACCTGCCCTTTCTGTATGTTCCCCACCCAGGGTTTCAATTCCAACCCATTAATTTTTCATGGGAAATTTGGTGAAGGGCTATATTTTTCTTGGCTCTCCCCCTTAATTTTTCTTTACCTTCAATTTAGAAAAAATTCCCGAAAAATACTTCGTTTGTTTTACACTTTCTTATTCCCAGAAATTTCACGCCAATTAAAGCCCCATGGGATTTCACCCCAACAGGGGAAAAACCCAAAAAATTAGGCTGGATGACAACGTTTGATTATTCATTTTTGTTTTGTGGATGCAAACATGTTCCCCTTTTGTACAATACCCCCATTGTTTGGGCTTAATAGTTCTTGATGGTGAGGGGGCCGATTTTTATCTTGCTCCTTTTTTCCTTGTTAATCCCCTTCAACCCAAACCCCGGGCTGAAATTTCGTTTACGTTCCCTTGGTGTTTAAAAAAACAAAGGAAACCCTCATTTTGTTAACAAAAAATGTCCCTACCACATTTTTTTATTTTTTAATGCACCAAAATTGGCTTATCACACATCTATTTACTACTTTCCTGACTCATTAACTTACCTTAGTAGCTATGGGCCAAAAGGCCCCTGAAAGGAAATTGTTCCCGATGTTTGCTTGATTTGGTTTGTCTTGCTCCATCCCCAAATTGTGTGCTTCCCCTTTCCCCCCAGGGATAATCTCCTTTGGTTCCCCTTATTAAATTTAATTTGTAGTGGGGAGCTGTATGGGGTGTGGCAATAATTTTTCCTTATATGAAAAATCTTGTATGGAGCCCTCTTTGGGTTTAAAAAAAAATTGAAAACCCCACTTATCCGGGGGTTTTGTTTTTAAAGTCTGCTAGGTTTCCACATTTTCCCTTAATCCAACCATATTTCTCAAGATTCTTTGTACCCGGAATTTTCAAGAAGTTTTAGTTGTGTAGGGCCTTACTTTGGGTCTTTTCCCTTTCCTTTTGATGGTTGCATTGAATAATTTGGGTTTAAAGGTCCTTAAAACCCCTTTGGCCATGTTCTCAACCTGTGGTCCTAAAGAGCAAAAATTTTCCAATAGTCTTGAAAAATTTTGGGGTTTAAAATTACCCTTTAAAAAAAAAAAACCCAGGATCCCAAATTTTTCTCTTGAAAATTTTGAAAATAAAAGTTTTTCTTTATAAATGTTGGAATCTTTTTATCATAAAGGCCCAAAAATAGAAATAGGAAAATTTCAATTTTGCCTATTTAAGAGGCTTCATGTTTAGCCGGCAAAGGATCATTTTCCCCCTTCAACGGTACCAGTAAACCAAACAATATTTCTTAGATCTTTTTCTATCCCTATACCAAAAAACCAAATTTTCTTTTTCCTTCATAAAATTTCCGTTTTTGGGATTTTTCCTTTCCCCTTTCTTCCTTCAAATAGGGGTTGAATTCCGCAACGTTCCTGGCATATTAACATTTCCCGCATATTCTGGTTCGTTACATTTTTGTTCCCGATATGTTTCAAAAAATATACTCGACCCGTTATGCTAAACAGCCTTCATTGGAAATGGAAAAATTAGAACCCTTGTTAAAAAGAAACTTAGATTCATTATGATTGGAAAATTTTTTATTTTTTTTAATTTGCAAAATTGAAAATTCCCTAAAATGCCCAATTTCCGGAAAAAAATTAAAAATGCTTCATTTTTAATGATGCTCATTTTATTTAAATGCACCAGGAAATAGGAATAAACAAAATATACTAAAATATTCAATGAAAACATAAAACCAAAAAAACACCAAATTTTAAAATTTTTCCTAAATTTGCAAGGGTGGAGGAAAATGCGCGGTGACAAAACCTATTTTTATATTTTAAACTTCTCCCTAGGGAAGGCCAGAATTTTTGATTAGTAAGGACCAAACTTTTAAAGGGGTTGGCTAAAGAAAACTGGGCCGGGGGGTTTTAAGTATACAGGAAAAAAAGAACAAAAAAGTTTTTCCCCAAAAGATAAAGGGTTAAAATTTTTATTATTTTAAAAAAAGCATAAAACCCAAAAAGGGGATGAAATGCTTTTTGATAAATATTTATTAAAGACAACAATCATATTTTTGGGAAAACATTTAAGAAGAAAATTCTGAACAAATTGTGGGACTGGGTACCACTGTACCTTTTACCCTTAATTTTTTTTACCATACAGAGAGGTACTAGTTAGGTCTTTTACTGAGTACTTCCTGTTGTTTTAAATAACTTGTAAAATCATAGTGAGTGAATATAATGGTAAACAGTGTTAATAAGTAAGATGCATGTACAGCAGCTAAGTATCTTTATTCTGAAACATTTTGCCTACACAGTAGGCTTCTTCAGTCAAATATGGAGGCAGCAGTAGAGATAAAGATTGTATAATCAGTCCATTGCCCTCCAAGACATAGTTTTGAGGTGGTCAGTCCCTCAGCCTGGAGAAGTTTTTTGCTCAGTAGTCTGGAACAATGTGAAGGTGAAGTAACAGTATGGAGACTTTTATACTGTCAAGGTGAGGCACAGAACATCTTGATGACAGAAGAGGTGGAGTCCACTAGTAGAAGTGAGAATGTTGTTGATTGGCTTATTTTATAGGCTGTGTAGCAAACCTACTAAGTAGGTCCCTTTCAAATCCAACCTTTCTCACTCACAACCAGTGGTTAGACATTCTTACTTCTAGTGAGCTCTGCCTCTTGTCAAGATGTTCTGTGCCTCACCTTGACAGTATACAAGTCTCCATACTGTTACTTCACCTTCACATTGTTCCAGACTATGCAGCAGAACACTTCTCCAGGCTGAGGGACTGATTGTCTTGACATCTCTATTGCATTCTGTTACCTCCTACTGTGTAGGCAAAACATTTCTGAATAAAGATACCTAACTGTTTGTGTTTTACTTATCTAGATCTTATACACCATCTAGATCTTATCATCACATTATAATGTAGACTAGCAGATCACAGGTGGCAGTGGTCAGGTCACATCAGGTGAAGAACCAATCAAAATCTAAGTGTTCTTTGTGTTGATGACATCAGTGTTGTATTATGTGCACAATGTTGCATAATGTGTTGATGTTCTAAGTGTTGCAGTGTTCACCTATGTGTACAGTCACCTTTTCATTAGTTTACAAAAGGAGTCCCCTCAAGGAAGGTTCCTTGATGTTGGTGAGGGGCTCTTGATTTAGGGAATTGGATCTGTGCTCCAGTTCCCCAAATTAAGCCTGAATGCCTTCCACATCCCCCCCCAGGCGCTGTATAATCCTCCGGGTTTAGCGCTTCCCCCTTGATTGTAATAATAAAATAAATTACAAGAGGAGAACAGTAACACTATTATTAGTTATAATCAAAAGCAACAGTAACACTAACGCACATTATATTTGGTAGTGTTTTTACACTGTTCAGCAAGACATGTACATTCCACCTGCAGTCAGCATTAACTATTTACTACTATCCTCGCACATCATATACAGTGGACCCCCGGTTTACGATCAGCTCCCAATGCGACCAATTATGTAAGTGCGCCCCTCAAGGAAGGTTCCTTGATGTTGGTGAGGGGCTCTTGATTTAGGGAATTGGATCTGTGCTCCAGTTCCCCGAATTAAGCCTGAATGCCTTCCACATTCCCCCCCCCCCAGGCGCTGTATAATCCTCCGGGTTTAGCGCTTCCCCCTTGATTATAATAATAATAATATGTAAGTGCGTTTGTACGTGTATGTTTGGGGCTGCAATGGACTAATCTAATTCACAATATTCCTTATGGGAACAAATTCGTTCAGTACTGGCACCTGAACATACTTCTGGAATGAAATAATATCATAAACCGGGGGTCCACTGTACTGTAAAACTCTTATACAACAGTCTGCTAGGATGAGGCCTACACTAACCTAACCTAACCTAACCTAGCCTAGCCTATATATTAACTCTACAGAACAACACATCCCCTGAATACTCTGCAGTCCAGTGTCCCTCAAAGGAAGTTCCTTGATGCTGGTGAGGGGCTCTTGATCTAGGGAATCGGGTCTGTGCTCCAGTTTCCTGAATTGCACCTGAATGCCTTCCAACAGACATTGTATATAATCCCTGTGGGTTTAGTGCTTCCCATAATGATAAACTGGCCTTGTGGTCATTCAGAGTTCTCAAGCCTCAGTGTACATAACCAGAGAACAAAGATCTATTACTTTTCACTGTTAATAGCTCTTTGAAAGTTTTGGTTGAAACATTAACCCTTTCAGCATCGGCAGGCCATCTCCTAAACTTGTTCTCAGGGTTAGAAATTTTTCGGAAAAAAAAAAAATGATTTTTCTTATGAAATGAAAGAGAATCTTTTCCCGATCATAATGACACCAAAAGTATGAAATTTGATGGAAAACTTACGGAATTATGCTCTCATGAAGTTAGCGATCTCTACGATGTTTACGCATCGGCGATTTCACCCACGTTGAGCCCTATTTTCGGCCAGTTGCAACGTACCAGTCAACAAAAATCATAACTATTTTGCTAGAACTCCATTTTGTCTATCGAATGAGTACAAGAAACCACCCATTTACTGATTTCAGCTATCCAGTAAAGTGGTCCGAAATTGGCAATTTTGCCAATTTCACACATTTCAAAAGATGCCAATTTCCAAATAGGGTCCAGAATAAACAAGACAGACATTCCTGGCACTAAAATAACATTTCCTCTGTTCATTAGTCACGTCCCCAGGCCTTTGTTACATTTCTTTTGTTTTCCACTTTGAAATTTTCTCACAAAAAATAGATTTACTGTTATACAGACTACTGCATTCATGTAGAAATGGTATAAATAATATCAGCGCACTTGTGAAAGAATATTAGACTTGCCAGTTGACGTGTATTGGACACATGGGTTGATTCATTTACTTTTGAACTTTGGCAAAAATCGAACATTTCTTCTACTTTGAGCTCAATTTCAAGGTACTTTTCATTGTGAAACCAATAAAAATCGTCTCAATTTCTGTAATATGTCTTCCATTCTATAAAATGAGACCAGGAAAACTAGAATACAACCATAAATAACATACGAAAATACAATGCAAAGTTGCTGTTTTAAACCAAAAACACAAAGTTTTATTTTCTCATTATGCACTGTGTGCTGCAGGATTTTTTTATACTGCGCACACTGACCACATAAACCTATTCTTTCATATGTAGGCCTACCATCTTTCTCTCACTAGGTTTGAAGGCACTAGAATTTATGAGTAGTAGTACGGCACCAACCCTGAAAGGGTTAAAGGCCTATAGATATTAAATTACTGACTGTGGTGGTTTTGCATGTAGATACATATGAGGAACAAAAACACAGCCTCACTGTCAACTTTTAGAGCAAAATGTTTAAACAATTTTGTTGTACCTTTGAGTTTCAAACAGCTCCCAACCGAACAGTTATGTAAGTGCTTTTGTAAGTATTTTCGGAGGTCTGAAACGGACTAATCTAATTCACATTATTCCTTATGGGAACAAATTCATTCAGTATCAGCACTTGAACAGCCTTCTGTAACAAATTAAGTTTGTAACTCGAAGTACCACTGTACCTGTACATTTATGTTTTTGATCTGATCCGCCACGAGGCTCGGTTGTGGACAGTGTCTAGCACTGTATGACTTTTTTTGGGTTTAGCGCTTAGTTCTGATTGTATCATGGACCGGGTCATGGGGGGTGTTGACCCCCAGAACACCAGGTAAGTAGGCGTATAGTGGAGGCAGAAGTGGGTCATAGTGTCTTCTGCCACTAAGACAGAGTAGTAGGGAAAAGTGGAAATACTTTCACCATCATTCATTCAGTATCTTGCCAGAAGTGTCACAGTTCAGATGACCCTTTGATTTGTAACATCCTCACTCCTTCAGAGTGCTGGCACCGCACTTCCCACCTCCAGAAGTGTAACATCCTCACCCATCCTTCAGTGCTGGCACTGTACTTCCCCCCCCCCCCAGGGAAGGTTCCTTGATGTTGGTGAGGGGCTCTTGATTTAGGGAATTGGATCTGTTGCTCCGGTTCCCCAAATTAAGCCTGAATGCCTTCCACACCCCCCCTCCCCGGCACGTATAATCCTACGGGTTTAGCGCTTCCCCCTTGATTATAATAATAATGTACTTCCCACCTTCATGACTGTAACATCCTCACCCATCCTTCGGTGCTTGCACTGTACTTCCCACCTCCACGACTATAACATCCTTCAGAATACACACTCCTGACCAGACAGCCACTGAATGAGTATTGGTAAATGTCTTTTTCTATCAAATAAAAATTCATATGTGAGAATAATACACATAACTTCCACATATGTAATATTTTACCAATAAAATATATATAACAAGTGAGAGGTGAACAGGTTTGATCCTAGGAAGGGGAGGGTGGCTCCAGTTCCTTGGATCAGGAGAGCCCCCCTTGAGGTGAACATAAGAACATTAATATATTAAAGTATTGCTTGGCAACACCAGCAGAGACTGAACGTTAAGAACGGTTCCTGGGAGACCAGTGAAGAACACTGGGTTCCTGGGAGACCACTGAAGAATGCAGGCTTCCTGGGAGACCAGTGAAGAACAGTTATCTCATGGGAGACAATAGACAGACATCCTCACAGACACACACAAGTTATCTCTTACAGAAAACAAGAAACAGACATACACACAGGAGAACAGTTATCTCTCACAGAAGACAAGAGACAGACATCTTCACAATCATACACAGAGGAACATGGTCATCTCTCACAGGAGGCAAGAGACATACTCGCAGACACACACACACAGGAGAACACAATCATCTCTCACAGGAGACAAGAGACATACTCACAGACATACACAGGAGAACAGTCATGTCCCACAGAACACAAGAGACACATAATCACAGTCTCTCACAAATTTGCAGCTAGGTCTTCAACTTCTTGCGCCGGAGACTGTTCAAGGTCTCCGAGTCTGAGGTGTCGGAGCCGGATCCGTCAAACTCCATGAGGGCACTGCCCTTGCTGCCCAGGAGGACGTTGCTGCTGGTCATGGCAGCAAAGTTCCCAGTGTACTTGGTCTTCTCCAGTGACCGAACTGTAAGACAACATAGTAATGTTACGAGGAGTAAGACTGGGTGGCAATACTATAAGACTGGATTATAAGACATATCTTACAATGTTAACCCTTTGACTGTCGCAACCCCCAATCCTGAGGTGTCTCCTGGTGTCACAAAATTTAAAAAAAAAATTATTTTTTCTTATGAAATGATAGACAATCTTTTCCCGATTGTAATGACACCAAAAAAAACAAAATTTGATGGAAAACTGACGGAATTATGCTCTCGTATTTAGCGACCTCGGCGCTGTTTACAAATCGGCGATTTCGCCCACTTTGAGCCTTATTTTCGGCTAATTCCATTGTTCCAGTCGCCCAAACTCATAGCTATTTCTTTAGAACTCCATTTTTTCTATCGATTGAGTACAAGAAACTGCCCATTTACCTATTTCAACTGCCTAATAATGTGGTCAGAAAATTGCAATTTGGCCAATTTTTTACGAAAACTAAAAAATAGACAATTTCAAAATAAGGTCCAGAATGAACAATGCAGACATTCCTGGCTCTAAAATAACATTTTCTTTGTTCATCAGTCATGTCTCCAGGCCCCTCTGATATTACTCTTGCTTTCTATTTTGAATTTTTATTCAAACAAAAAATAGAAGATTTACTGTTATGCAGACTACTGCAATACTGTAATAATTGTATAAATAACATCAACCCATTCATGACTGCATATTAGAATGGCTAGTTGGACATTTATTGGACAATGACATCATTTGTTTACTTTTGAACATTGGCAAAAATCAAACATTTCCCCAACTTTGAGCTCCATTTCTAGTAAAATCAATCAAAATCACCTCTATTTCTATAATATGTTTTCCATTCTATCAAACAAGACGAAGAAAACGAGAATACATCCATAAATACTATACGAAAATAGACCGCAAAGTCGGCATTTTAATTAAAAAAAAAATGGTCTTTTTTTTTTTCTCATTATGCACTGCGTGCTCCAGGATTTTTTTTTATATGGTGCACACTGACCACACAGACCCATTCTCTCACATGAGGCCTACCAGCTTTCTCCTGCTTGATTTGAAGCTGCTAGAATTTATGAGTAAATATACGTCAAACACAGTACCTCGTAAGACGTATATATACGGCCGCGACAGTCAAAGGGTTAATAATATTAACCCTTTCAGGGTCCGTCCCGTAGATCTACGGCTTTACGGTGAGTGTCCAAACCGTAGATCTACGCCATGAGCTCAGCTCACTCTGATAAACTGTGAGTGGTACATTTGGGCCTAGATATGAGAGAATACATCTATGTGGTATGTGTGCACCACATAAAACAGATCCTGCAGCACACTGTGTATAATGAGAGAAAAAAAATGAAATCATGATTTTTCGATTAAAACAGCAACTTTGCAGTGTTTTTTCGTATGTTTTTTTATAGTTGTATTTGCGATTTCTTGGTCTCATTTGATAGAATGGAAGACATATTACAGAAATAGAGATGATTTTGATTGGTTTTAGCACTGGAAATGGCTTGAAACTGAGCTCAAAGTAGCGGAAATGTTAAATTTTTGCCGATATTCAAGAGTAAACAAACGACCTCACACGTCTAATACACATCAGCTGGTGGGTCTAATATACATTCACAAATATGGTGATGATATTTATACAATTATTACAGTATTGAATAACAGTAAATCTTCTATTTTTTTGGTGTGAATAAAAATTCATTATGTGAATAAAAAATCAAAATGGAATTTATTTGTGAAGCCTCAAAACATAACTAATGAACAGAGGAAATGTTAGTTTAGTGCCAGGAATGCCTACATTGTTTATTCTGGACCCTATTTATGAAATTGGAATATTTTGAACTTTGTGTTAAATTGGCCAAATTAACAATTTCCGATCACTTTATTTTTGTAGTTGAAACAGTTGACTTGGCGATTTCTTGTGCTTAATCGATAGAATAGAAGTAATACTAGTGAAATAGCTAAGAATTTGGTTGATTGGAATAATGTAATTGGCCTAAAATGGGAGTCAAAGTCGGCAAAATCGCCGATTCGTAAATATCGCTGACACATCAAAATTCGCGAGAGCATAATTTACGTCAATTTTCCACCAAATTTCCTACTTTTTGTTTTATTACCTTCACAAAAAGATTCTCTACGATTTCATAAGAAAAAATAACAAATTTTTTTTTTTAAAATTCTTGGACACTGGTGCGTGACTCCAGATTTGGGCCTTGGACCCTGAAAGGGTTAAAGATAGAGGGACTGATCACGTCAAACAAAAAATAACACAACACAGCTACAAACAACACAACAAGCTACAAACAACAAAGCCACAATCAACACAACTACAAACCACACAACACAGCCACAAACACACACAACACAGCCACAATCAACACACAACACAGCCATAATCAACACACAACATAGCCACAATCAATACACATTACAGTCATAGAGTTGTCAGGAAGTGGAATAGTCTGGCAAGTGATGTAGTGGAGGCAGGAACCATACATAGTTTTAAGATGAAGTATGATAAAGCTCATGGAGCAGGGAGAGGACCCAGTAGTGATCAGTGATGAGTCAGGGCCAGGAGCAATGACTCGACCCCTGCAACCATAAATAGGCGAGTACAGCCACAAACAACAACCAAGAGTACAGGCTAAGGGGCCAAAAGCTACAAACCACACTCAAAGAAAAGGATCTTGGGGTGAGCATCATACCAAGCACATCTCCTATGGCCCACAAGGACACCAATGGAAATAAGTCACTTTTCTGGGTTATCCTAGGTAATCTACACATATGCTGCTATGTATGATAATTTACGTAACTGTATTCATGTGTACCCATACCTGAAGAAACTTACATCAACCAAATAGTAACTGCTGCAGCATATGCAAGGATTAACCCTTTGACTGTCGCGGCCGTGTATATACGTCTTACGAGGTACCGTGTTTGACGTATATTTTTATTTATTATCACACTGGCCGATTCCCACCAAGGCAGGGTGGCCCGAAAAAGAAAAACTTTCACCATCATTCACTCCATCACTGTCTTGCCAGAAGGGTGCTTTACACTACAGTTTTTAAACTGCAACATAAACACCCCTCCTTCAGAGTGCAGGCACTGTACTTCCCATCTCCAGGACTCAAGTCCGGCCTGCCGGTTTCCCTGAACCCCTTCATAAATGTTACTTTGCTCACACTCCAACAAGCACGTCAAGTATTAAAAACCATTGTCCTCCATTCACTCCTATCAAACCACCTCACGCATGCCTGCTGGAAGTCCAAGCCCCTCGCACACAAAACCTCCTTCTACCCCTCCCTCCAACCTTTCCTAGGCCAACCCTACCCCACTTCCTTCCACTACAGACTGATACACTCTTGAATTATTTCTGTTTCGCTCCATTCTCTCCACATTGTCCAAACCACCTCAACAACCTTTCCCGTAGAGCCCTCTGGACAACAGTTTTTGGTAATCCCGCACCTCCTCCTAACTTCCAAACTACGAATTCTCTGCATATATTCACACCACACATCCCTCTCAGACATGACATCCCCAAACTGCTCCAGCCTCTCGCGCAACATTCAACAACCCATGCTTCACACCCATATAAGAAGCTTTGGAAAACTATACCTCATACATTCCCCTTTGCCTCCAAGGACAAAGTTCTTGTCTCCAGACCTCCTAAGGCACCATTCACCCTTTTTCCCCTCATCAAATTCTATGATTCACCTCATCTTCATAACCCATCCCGCTGCAACGTTCCACCCCAATACTGAAACATTCACCTCCTCCATACTCTCCCCCTCCAATCTGATATCCAATCTTTCATCACCTAATCTTTTGTTACCCAAAACCCTTTACCTTCCTGTATTCACCAATTCTTCTTTTGCCCACCCTACCAAATTCTTTCCACCAATCTCTGCAATTTTCTCTTCAGAATCTCCCAAGAGCACAGTGTCATCAGCAAAGAGCAACTGTGACAACTCCCACTTTATGTGTGAATCTTTATCTTTTAACTCCACGCCTCTTGCCAGACCCTCGCATTTACTTCTCTTACAACCCCATCTATAAATATATTAAACAACCACGGTGACATCACACATCCTTGTCTAAGGCCTACTTTTACTGGGAAATAATTTCCCTCTTTCCTACATACTCTAACTTGAGCCTCACTATCCTCGTAAAAACCCTTCACTCTTTCAGTAACCAAACCCCTACACCATAACAACCTGCAACACTGCCACATTGCCCCCCATCCACCCTGCCCATACCCTTTTCCAAATCCATAAATGCCACAAAGACCTCTTTAGACCTTATCTAAATACTTTTTCACTTATTGTTTTCACTGTAAACACCTGGTCCACACACCCCCTACCTTTTCCCTAAAGCCCCCCTTTGTTCATCTGCTATCCTATTCTCCGTCTTACTCTTAAAACTTTCAATAAAAACTCAACCATACACTTTGCCAGGTATACTCAACCCGACTTATCCCCCTATAATTTTTGCACTCTCTTTATCCCCTTTGCCTTTATACAAAGGAACTATGCATGCTCTCTGCCAATCCCTAGGTACCTTACCCTCTTCCATACATTTATTAAATAATTGCAAACCCAAACCCCTCCAAAACTATCCCCACCTATATAATTAACTATATATATATATACTCAAAAAATATATCTATTAAAATATACCTCGTAAGACGTATAATATACGGCCGCGACAGTCAAAGGGTTAATATCACCTTTGTTTATGCCTATCATCCAATTATACACTTCGATGATCTCTCTCATTCTAGGTTTCTCAAGAGAGTGGAGATTCAAGGATCTATCTTCATATGGGAGAGTCCTTTTACAGTGAATTATTTTAGTCATCCTTCTCTGTATGTTTATATTCATCCTGTAGTAAGGAGACCAAAACTGAGTGGCATAATCCAAGCGAGTCTTTGGTAGTAATGCGTAGAGCTGTAAAATAACTTTTGGACTCCTGTTACTTATACTTCTCGAAATAAATCCTAATAATTTATGAGCCTTATTGCACACACTTAGGCACTGTTGTCTTGGCTTTAGGTTTCTGCTTACCATGACTCCCAAGTCCTTTTCACACTGTGTGATCAGGCTCTACTTTACTTAGTTTATAACTTCGAGGGTTATTTTCATTCCCAAGAACTAGGATCTTACACTTGTCCACACTGAACTTCATCTGCCACTTTTCAGACTAAGACATTAATTTGTCCAAATCCTCCTGGAGTTCACTGCTATCCTCCTCAGAATCAATCATTTGGCCTATTTTAGTATCAGTAAATTTGCTCACGTCACTTTCCTTCATCAAGGTCATTAATGTAAATTATGAACAACAATGGGCCTAAAACTGATCCTTGTGGAATGCCACTAGTGACCACTCCCTCATTCAGATTTGACCCCATTAATGGAAACTGCTTTCTATTGGTAAGTCATGCCTCGATCCATTTTTTTATGAGTCTCTTGTGAGGTACTCTATCGAAGGATTTACTAAAATCCAAATAAACAATATCATATTCTTTACCATTGTCTACTCCCTCAAATGGTTTATTGAAGAACGTCAGTAAATTTGTCAGGCAGGAAAAACTTCTCATGAATCCATACTGAGATTCATTAATCAAATTATGCTCCTCAAGGTGACAAATGCTCATCAAGGTGACATATAAAATACTGAAAGGAACTGACAAGGTGGATAGGGATAGTATGTTTCAGAGATGGGACACAGCAACAAGGGGTCACAATTGGAAGTCGAAAACTCGCACGAGTCGCAGGGATGTTAGGAAGTATTTCTTCAGTCACAGAATTGTCAGGAAGTGGAACAGTCTGGAGAGTGATGTAGCAGAGGCAGGATCCATACACAGCTTTAAGAAGAGGTATAATAAAGCTCATGGAGCAAGGAAAGAGAGGACCTAGTAGCGACCAGTGAAGAGACGGGGCCAGGAGCTATGATTACTCTTGCAACCACAAATAGGTAAATACAACCATAATCAATACAACACAAACACACAACACAGCTACAAACACACAACACAGCCACAAAGAACACACAATAAACACAACCACAAACACACAACACAGCTAACACACAACACAGCTAACACACAACAGAGCTGCAAACAACACAACACAGCTAAACACACAACACAGCTACAAACAAAACAACACAGAGCATACAACACACACACAACACAGCTACAACAACACACACAGCCCCAGCTACAAAAACACAACCACAAACACACACAACACAGCTACAATAAACACAACCACAACACTACAACACACTACAACACACAACACAACTACAAACAACACAGCACAGCCAGACACAAAAATAAAAAACAGCCACAAACAAGACACAACAAACAAAAACAAGATACAACAATCACAGACAACACAAAACAAAAAAGCTAACTCTGGTTCTCCAGTAAGTTGTTCTGACACAAACATAACAAAGACAACTCACTCACTCTGGGTCTCCAGCAGGTTGTTTTGTTTCTTGAGATCATCAATGTCCTGCTGGTGGGCACTGTTCTTTCTCCTCATAAACTCAATATAGTCAGCAGCTTTCTTCAGTATCTGCGCACGACTGGCCTGCGAATTCTTCACTAATTACTGAACAAGGTCACTCACAGCCGGTTTACAGTGCTTGTGTAAATGAGGGAAGGGGATGTGTAAATGAGGGAGGGGGATGTGTAAATGAGGGAGGGGGAGGTGTAAATGAGGGAGGGGAAAGTGTAAATGAGGGAGGGGAGGTGTAAATGCTTAATATATCTGATTAGTGTAAATTTTCAAGAGGACATAAATAATCAGCTTAAATTACTAACTGAGCCACAGTTAAAACTAGCAGTGACATAGTCATGTTACAATGACACAGTAGTATAACACAGTCACCAATAACACAGTAACATAATATGACACACACTACAATACTATGACTGTCACATAATAACACATAATCAAGCAGAGGAAGTCTTAACATGTAATAAGTTAACACACACTAAATAATTTTCAGAAGCAGTTAAGTGTAAACACAGTCAGCGAGGCCCGGGGTTCGAATCTCCTCCGTTATGGCTGGAAAACATTACGGACACATTTCCATAAGACACCTGCTGTCCCTGTTTACCCATCAGTTTAAAATGGGTACCTGGGTGTTATATGACTGGTGTGGGTCACATTCTGGGACAAAACTGACCTAATTTGTGGGAAAAGCTCTGCATAACAAGGGGCTTTCTATATAGTAGTATGTCACTGATGTCAACTATGGTCTGTATACCTTGTACAGTATATATGTACTTGTAGAAATAAAGATATTATTTATTATTATTACTAATTCATTTACAGTGTATCTGAATAATGTGAGGTGACACACACTGACACAGCAACTGCAAAATAACACACAGTGCAATGAGGGTTACAGGTGACACACCTGTACAACATCTGGGTTTCCTTATTACAGAATAAAGATACCCAAATGTTATGCAAGTGTCTTGTTTATCAATTTGGCTTTCTGAACCATTCATTCAATGAGGGTTATAAGTAGAGTGAAACCCAAACATAGTCATGACTGAAACAACTGTTATCTATACCATGAAAAAATCTGAATGGTTATAACTATGACCACAATTTTTAAAGGGGTGGACTGAAAAGCCAGTGGAAGGCCTCGGTCAGATGACCAAAAGCTCCAACGAAGGGTTTTCATCTGACTAAGACCCACATCAGGAAACACTTGTCCTGTTTCCTGACGAACCTTAGCTAACCTAACCTATCTATACTATGTGGTACAGCCTCTCCTCACTTAGTGACGTACTTGTTTACTGACGCCTCGGACTTACAACGGGCTCTCTGACCAGTTTCCATACCTAAATACATGTAATGTATATCAGAGCTGATTTCCTCTATTCTGTTTATTAAAATATACAGTACACTACTGTATAAACATTTAAAAATATATAAAAAATGTTACAAATCGTGCAAAGGTGACATTAAAACAATATAAAAAATGGTTGACACAAACCCACTTTCATTATACAGTGGACCCTCAGCTAACGATACATTTTAATGCAAAAATTTTGCCTCGGCTAATTAAAAAACTCACCCAACATGATTCGTTCGAGACGCGTCCACGTGTGGCCAGTGTTTACAAGCCAGCCAGTGCAGTTGCATCCACGCATACAATCGGAACATTTCATATTATCACAGCGTTTTTAGTGATTGTACCCGCAAAATAAGTCACCATGGGCCCCAAGAAAGCTTCTAGTGCCATCCCTGTGATAAAAAGGGTGAGAATTAGTATGGAAATTAAGAAAGATTTTGAATAGTTTGGGGCTAACCCTGAGACACCTATGCCAGTTGTGGAATCCATTGTGCCTACTTCAAAAATTAAGGAAATGTGTGCAAAGTGGGTTGAACTGCAAACCTTTATGGATGAAAATCACCCTAACACAGCTATTGTAAGCCGTGCTGGTGACTATTACAATGACAATGTTGTGGCCTATTTTAGGCAAATCTTAAAGGAACGGGAGGTACAGACCTCTATAGACAGATTTGTTGTGTGACATAGGTCCAGTGACTCTCAAGCTGGTCCTAGTGGCATTAACCCTTTCAGGGTCCGTCCTGTAGATCTACGGCTTTACGGTGAGTGTCCAAACCGTAGATCTACAGCCATGAGCTCAGCTCACTCTGATAAACTGTGAGTGGTACATTTGGGCCTAGATATGAGAGAATACATCTATGTGGTATGTGTGCACCACATAAAACAGATCCTGCAGCACACTGTGTATAATGAGAGAAAAAAACTGAAATCATGATTTTTCGATTAAAACAGCGACTTTGCAGTGTTTTTTCGTATGTTTTTTATAGTTGTATTTGCGATTTCTTGGTCTCATTTGATAGAATGGAAGACATATTACAGAAATAGAGATGATTTGATTGGTTTTAGCACTGGAAATGGCTTGAAACTGAGCTCAAAGTAGCGGAAATGTTAAATTTTTGCCGATATTCAAGAGTAAACAAACGACCTCACACATCTAATACACGTCAGCTGGTGGGTCTAATATACATTCACAAATATGGTGATGATATTTATACAATTATTACAGTATTGCATAACAGTAAATCTTCTATTTTTTGGTGTGAATAAAAATTCATTATGTGAATAAAAAATCAAAATGGAATTTATTTGTAAAGCATCAAAATGTAACTAATGAACAGAGGAAATGTTAGTTTAGTTCCAGGAATACCTACATTGTTTATTCTGGAGCCTATTTTGAAATTGGAATATTTTGAACTTTGTGTTAATTGGCCAAATTAACAATTTCCGATCACTTTATTTTGTAGTTGAAACAGTTGATTTGGCGATTTCTTGTGCTCAATCGATAGAATAGAAGTAATACTAGTGAAATAGCTAAGAATTTGGTTGATTGGAATAATGTAATTGGCCTAAAATGGGAGTCAAAGTCGGCAAAATCGCCGACTCGTAAATATCGCTGACACATCAAAATTCGCGAGAGCATAATTTCGTCAATTTTCCACCAAATTTCGTACTTTTTTTTATTACCTTCACAAAAAGATTCTCTACGATTTCATAAGAAAAAAATAAAAAAATTTTTTTTTTGAAAATTCTTGGACACTGGTGCGTGACTTCAGATTTTGGCCTTGGACCCTGAAAGGGTTAAAAGAAGAGAAGTAACCCCAGAAAAGGACTTGATACCCCAAGTCCTAATGGAAGGGGATTCCCCTTCTAAACAACTTCCACACTCTCCTCTCCTCCCATCTCATCAATCATCACCAGATCTTCAATAAAGGTAAGTGTCAGTTTGTGTATATTAAAATTAATATTTCATGTGGTAAAAAAAATTTTTTTTTCATACTTTGGGGTGTCTTGCACGGATTAATTTGATTTCCATTATTTCTTATGGGGAAAATTAATTCAGCTAACGATGAGCTTTCAGAAACGGATTAATATCGTTAGCTGAGGGTCCACTGTAGTATGCTCCTCACTTAGCAACAAATTTGTTTACCAATGTGGTCTTAGGAGTGGAACTCTGTCATTAAGCGAGGAGAGGTTGTATTAACACTTACAGGCTATGAGCTGTCTAGTCTTGATCAATACCTGTATAAGACCTGTCACTTCACCTGGAAAGGCAGTTGCTGTTAAATCTTTTTCTTCTGCTAGTGGGACAAATGGATTCTCTACGGGTATAACAACAGCAATCCACGGGTCTGGTGACAACTCACTCCTACCCAAACAGGATATGTATGGGTAGCGAATGAGGTGTACGAGGTTAGTGTTTGCCACCATTTACGAGTTTGACTCAGGTGCGGTGAATAATACTCTTCACAGGTGAGCCTTAGGATTATTTGGGTTGTGTACAGGCAGTGTGTCTAGGCTACCCTAGGACTAGGCCCCAACCTGGCAGGAGAGGGAGGAGGGAGTTCTTGCTTGTAAGCTGCCTCCCAGGTGAGTGAGGAGACCGTGTACAGGGTACTGGAAACAGTGTACAGAGTACAGACTGTACTGGGTACTAGAGACTGTATAGTATGTACTGGGTACTAGAAACACTGTTAGAAGTGTATACTGGGTACTAGACAGTGTAGCATGTACTGGGAGCCAGTAACACCAGGTACTGGACCAGTGCACACCTGCAGCTTGAAGCTAAGGTCTCACCTTTTCTCCGTGGAGTGATGGAACAGAGTCCCTCAGGGAACAGAAGGAATCCTTAATGTGGTCGCGACGTTTCCTCTCCAGGGCATTGTGGTGGGCACGTTTCTCCGCCTGTGAGGCAAATTGAAACTCGCCCCGGGCGCCACCACCCAGCGACTCATCGTCCTGTGGCAAAAATCAAGAAACAGTTAGGCTGCGGGCGAGTACAATACCCATAAGGATAATGTATAGCCTGGGATACGAAGAATATTGTGTAGTAGTAGTAGTAGTACAGGAGGGCCCCACATATACAGCGCCTCTTTTTGTTGTTCCAAGTTTTCATTGGATTTCAACTGAACCATTGTTCATTGTGTTCGGTGCTCTTACTGCTTTTGCTCCATTTTTGTACAACATTTGCATAAGGGAAGGGCGACCAGCACCGTATTTTAAGTACTGTACGTAATGTGTATTTATTTTACTTCTTTTTCTGTTTTTTAATGCCTAGCTGTATTAAGCACTTGATATATGATAGTGTAAACACGTTATCAGGCAGATTTGATGCATTCAATAATGAAAAAGATGCTCTTTCCCACCAACCAATGATTTTTGCTTATTACATGGGGTCGTGAAACTAAGACCTGTACAAGCAGCAGTAGTAAAAATATTAATAATAATAATATTATTTTACAAAAATAATACTGGTATTAAAAATAATAATTATTATAATAATAAATTATTATTATTATTATTCATAGCCATTATGATCAGGGAAAAGGCTCTATCTTGCTATAAAACAGTGAACATAGTTCTACATCATGAGCTCACTCACTCAGATAAGCTGTGAGCAGTAAATTTTGGCCTAGATATGAGAGAATGGGTTTGTGGTGAGTGTGCAGAGTACAAAGAAAATCTTGCCCCACAGGGTGCATGATGGGAAAAGCCAAACTGATCATCTGTTTTGTATAAAATAGCAAGTGTGAGGTGTTTTCTAGGATGACTTTTATGCCTTTATTAGCTATTTCTTGGTATCATTTGATAGAACTGAATTTATTATTATTATAATCAAAAAGAAGCGCTAAGCCACAAGGGCTATACAGCGCTGCTGATAGAACTGAAGACATACTACCAAAATAGAGATGATTTGGGTTGGTTTAACCCTTTGATTGTTTTGGTCATATGTATACGTCTTACGAGCCAGTGTTTCAGATGTATATATACTCAATAATTCAAGCGGCTTCAAATCAAGCGGAAGAAAGCTGGTAGGCCCACATGTGAGAGAATGGGTCTGTGTGGTCAGTGTGCACCACATAAAAAAAATCCTGCAGCACAGTGCGTAATGAGCAAAAAAAACTGATCGTTTTTTTGGATTAAAACGCCGACTTTGAGGTGTACTTTCCTATAGTATTTATCGATGTATTTGCGTTTTCATGGTCTTAGGTGATAAAATGGAAAACATATTACAGAAATAGAGATGATTTTCATTACTTTGACGATGAAAACGACCTTGAAACTGAGCTCAAAGTAGCGGAAATGTTCGATTTTTACCAATGTTCAGGCTGAATGGTACTGCCCTTGATACTGGCCATGTAGTCAGAAACTGTAAGGCTGGAGGTGAGGTCCTGGTAGTCAGTAAATGTGGGGCTGATAGTGCTCTCCTGGAAGATAGTAATGGTGAAGCTGGAGGTGCTATCCTGGGAGACAGTAATGGTGAAGCTGGAGGTGCTGTCCTGGGAGACAGTAATGGTGAAGCTGGAGGTGCTGTCCTGGGAGACAGTAATGGTGAAGCTGGAGGTGCTGTCCTGGGAGACAGTAATGGTGAAGCTGGAGGTGCTGTCCTGGGAGACAGTAATGGTGAAGCTGGAGATTTTGTCCAGGTAGTCGGGAATTATACGCAGGAAGGAATACATATAAATGACCTCATAGGGGACAGGAGCCGTAGTGGGGAAACAAGTGTAGTCAAAGATAAGATAAAACCAATATTGCAAACTAGAAATACCACAGGAAATAGCAAACAAGAGGACTTCACTAGCAATAGTGAGGATATATTACCAAAAACAACTGGTGGGAGCTCCATTGTTGGTGCTAGGGAGGATAGGAATAAGACAGGGAAACATGCACCAACAGGGAATACAGTCACAGAAACCCAAGGCAAACAGAAACCAAGCCTGTGCACATACTATGCACTTGGTATCTGCAGACATGGGAAATCTGGAAAAACAGACGGGATGTGCAACTATGACCACCCTAGAAAATGCCATGCCCATATGACAACAGGAAAATGCAAACTCCCTTCCTGTAGCTTTTTCACCCTGAAATGTGTACCTCTTCAGTACAGGAAAGACTGTGCTATAACTTAAATTGCCAGGCACACCATCTAAAGGGTACAAAAAGATACAAAACATCCAGGCCATGGGAAAACCTGGGTAGCCACAGCCACTCAAGAGGGAGAGGTTTTTTAGTGCCAGGAAGGAAAAAAAACTGGCAGGAAATGGCAGAAATCGTACACCAAATCCAGTCATTCCTGGAGTGGAACCACAGTCGATGGCCTTTACTCCAAACCAACAGATACAGATACTAATGCTGGAAAAAAAATCCCCCCCCAGTACCAACAATACCACCAGTCCGATAACATTCTTCTTTGCAAACATACAGGGTCTAAAGCCAGCAACAAACAACAAAATACCTTTCATCTGTGGACTGCTTGCAGAGGCAAAGGCAATGTTCGCGGCTTTCACTGAGACCCACATAAAGGATCACTTGGACAACAAAATATGGATCCCAGGTTACAACCTATACAGATGTGACAGAGTGAACAGGCAAAAGGGGGGGGTTGGCCTGTACATTGCAGAGTCACTTGTTTGCACAGAACTGCTAAATGCCTCTAGTGATGTAGTGGAAGTTTTAGCAGTAAAGGTCGAGAACCAAAACCTAGCCATTGTGGTAGTCTACAAGCCTCCGGATGCAACATCCCAGCAATTCCACGAACAGCTGTTAAAAATTGACCACTGTCCGGAAAATCTTCCAGCTCCTGCACCCAACAACTTGCTCCTGGGGGATTTCAACTTAAGGCACCTAAAATGAAGGAATATAGCAAATAATATTGTTGCAGTAATAACACCAGGAGGCAGCTCTGATGAAAACTCACACTCACACGAGCTTTTAAATCTCTGCACAAAATTCAATTTAAACCAGCAAATAATAGAGCCTACTAGACTGGAGAATACACTAGACCTCATCTTCACTAACAATGATGATCTGATAAGAAATGTCACCATATCAAAAACAATATACTCAGATCACAACATAATTGAGGTTCAGATATGTACACGTGGAGCCCCAGACCGACATAATGAGACTAGTCACGAGGGAGTATTCACAGAGTAAAGTCCGAGGCAGCTACGGTGAAAAGCTCTGTTCCACAAGGCACAGTACTCGCTCCCATCTTGTTCCTCATCCTCATATCCGACATAGACAAGGATGTCAGCCACAGCACCGTGTCTTCCTTTGCAGATGACACCCGAATCTGCATGACAGTGTCTTCCATTGCAGACACTGCAAGGCTCCAGGCGGACATCAACCGAATCTTTCAGTGGGCTGCAGAAAATAATATGAAGTTCAACGATGAGAAATTTCAATTACTCAGATATGGTAAACACGAGGAAATTAAATCTTGATCAGAGTACAAAACAAATTCTGGCCACAAAATAGAGCGAAACACCAACGTCAAAGACCTGGGAGTGATTATGTCGGAGGATCTCACCTTCAAGGACCATAACATTGTATCAACCGCATCTGCTAGAAAAATGACAGGATGGATAATGAGAACCTTCAAAACTAGGGAGGCCAAGCCCATGATGACACTCTTCAGGTCACTTGTTCTATCTAGGCTGGAATATTGCTGCACACTAACAGCACCTTTCAAGGCAGGTGAAATTGCTGACCTAGAAAATGTACAGAGAACCTTCACGGCGCGCATAACGGAGATAAAACACCTCAATTACTGGGAGCGCTTGAGGTTCCTAAAACTGTATTCCCTGGAATGCAGGCGGGAGAGATACATGATTATATACATCTGGAAAATCCTAGAGGGACTAGTACCGAACTTGCACACGAAAATCACTCACTATGAAAGCAAAAGACTTGGCAGACGATGCAACATCCCCCCAATGAAAAGCAGGGGTGTCACTAGGACGTTAAGAGACCATACAATAAGTGTCAGGGGCCCGAGACTGTTAAACTGCCTCCCAGCATACATGAGGGGGATTACCAACAGACCCCTGGCAGTCTTCAAGCTGGCACTGGACAAGCACCTAAAGTCGGTTCCTGACCAGCCGGGCTGTGGCTCGTACATTGGTTTGCGTGCAGCCAGCAGCAACAGCCTGGTTGATCAGGCTCTGATCACCAGGAGGCCTGGTCACAGACTGGGCCGCGGGGGCGTTGACCCCCGGAACTCTCTCCAGGTAAACTCCAGTAAACAAATCACACCACACGTCCAATACACGTTAGCTGGGGAGTGTAATATTCTTTCACTAGTGCACTGACATTTTTTATACCATTTTTACAATAATGCAGTAGTCTGCATAACAGTAAATTTTGTATTTTTTTGTATGAATAAAAAATCAAAATAGAAAGCAATAATAATAAAAGAGGGGCCTAGAGATGTGACTAATGAACAGAGGATATGTTATTTTAGTGCCAAGAATGTCTACCTTGTTTATTCTGGACCCTATTTTGAAATTGGCATCTTTTTTAATTTGCGTGAAATTGGCCAAATTGCCAATTTCTGACCACAATATTGGGTAGTCCAAATTGGTAAATGGGAGGTTTCTTGTACTCAGCGGATAGATAAAATGGAGTTCTAAAGCAATAGCTATGAGTTTGGTCAACTGGAACAACGGAATTGGCTGAAAATAGGGCTCAAAGTCGGCGAAATCGCCGATACGCATATGTCGCCGAGACCGCTAACTTCGCGGGAGCGTGATTCCACGAGTTTTCGACCAAATTTCAAACTTTTGGTGTCATTATCATTGGGAAAACATTCTCTGTCATTTCATAAGAAAAAATAATTTTTTTTTTTCAAAAATTTAGCGACATAGAATGACAGTTTCAGAAAGGGGCCTGAAACAGTCAAAGGGTTAAGGGCCGGAAGTATCTTAACCCGTAAACGGTCCAAACATATATATACA